TATATATATATATATATGTATATATGTGAAAACATAATCAATACTAGAAATTTAAAATGCCGATCAAAGCTTGAATTATTTAAAAGCAATGAAAATCCAGTTTCGACCATAATAGGCATTTTAAATTTTTGGTATAAATTTTAAAGATTATTGAAACTTTATAATTTTGATATTTTCATTATTAATTTTTTTAGGTACCAACAATAACAGAATGGTTAATGCAAGAGTTCCAAAATCAATCAGAAGTACGTATTGGTGCTAATCCAAAACTAATACCTGCATTTACGTGGGAGACATGGGAACACGAATTAGGTAACGAAAAATATTATTGTATCAAATATCTCTTCATTACGATGTTATTAAATATATATTAAATATAGCATATTTTTATTACCAAAGGAAATAGTTTACACACTAATAAAAATCTATAATATTTTTACTGTGTACAAAAATATTGTTTTAATAAATATTTTTTTCGGTTCATTTTCAAGTTTCAAAACAAATTCTGTAACTATCATGAATCGCGAAGCCAAATCCGATCTTCTTTCATTCGCGAACTAACAATTCTATTCGTATTCAGCAAATTCGTCCGTAAGATTGGTCGCAGTCCATAATGATCTAGTGGACTTGATCTGGCAAGTGGGTCGACCTAAGTACAATCCGCACGCAGCGTATCCACTGACGGACGAATACTCCGGCAAATCATGGCAAGAGAAAATTCAAAGCATTCGGCTAGAAATGGAGTACTCATCGGTCGACGCGCTCGTCATCACCGCGTTGGATGAGATAGCGTGGCTCTTCAATGTTCGTGGCTACGATTTACCGCACACTCCCGTCCTCAGGGCCTACGCGATTATAACTCACGAGTCTCTGCATCTTTATGCGCCACGCCAAAAAATCCTACGATCCGTCGATATACATCTGAAAATCGACTTTTGCTCCCATGCAAACTGCGTCAAGTGAGTAATAATTAGTAAAATCTGGAAATTATCGTGTTATACAGGCAACTTTCCGACAAATAAAATAAAAAATGAACCGATAGACAAGAATGCAGATTTCTAATACAAAAGTAGAATTCGTTGTATCTTAAATTTTAAGAAAAATAAAAGATTTTCAAATATTACAAAATCAAGATACTTCTCAATCTTTGTAAATTGTAGAAATTAATAATAATAATAAGATAAAACAGATTTGTATAATGATCGATATTTACAGATGGCACAATTACACAGACATTTGGTACGATTTAAGGACTATGTCTCAAGCCTGGAATACAGTGTGGCTCCCTTCACCGTATGGCTACTCGCCGGGTGCGTCCAAAGAAATATACAATTCCGTAAGTATAATCGCGAAGACGGCGGTTTTGCATATATTTTAAGCACGAGGATACGTATAATACATGGCATCTATCTTCGAATAAGCAGATACCCAAAGGTCCGTTCTTCAGTATTATTATTTTTATCTCTAACTAGATATCGAACTTACAGTTTAATCTGTTCAGGCTGATATTATTTTCAGATTAAAATATCTTTTAGATAAAAAACTTTACTTTTTTATAATCATAAAAACTATACATATAATAATTAGCTTTAATTATGCAATTCAATATTATAAAAATATTCAGATACAAATACAGCTAATATGTGAGAATCTTTTTTGCAGATTCCACCAGAGAAAAGGTTGGCTAAGGCCTCACCTATAATTGATCTAAGAGCGGAGAAAAATAAAGTCGAAGTGACAGGTATGAGAAAATCTCATCTAAAGGATGCGATGGCCATGTGTGATTTCTTAGCTTACATGGAAGAGCAATACAAATTGGACTCTGAAGGATGGGACGAGATGCAAGTAGTGAGAGTGATCAATGAAATTCGTTACGAGCAAGATGGCAATAGGGGTATCGCCTTCCCAACAATTGCAGGGTATGGACCACACGCCGCTATGCCGCATTATGAACCGAATAACTTGACCAACATTAAAATCGGGACTACATCCACTCTAATGATCGACTCTGGAGGACAATACTTGGGTACGAAATTCTGAATCCCTTTATTTTACTTTGCTAGGAAATAGCAAGTTGAATTAAATGGAACAAAAACTAATTTTAAATTCAAAATTTATTTTAAATATAAAATTCGAAAAATATTCAATTATTCTTTTTTACGTTTCCTCTAATTCTTCGCCGATCGTAAGTAGTCGAAACATGAAAAACAAAATTATTTAACAGATGGTACCACAGACGTGACCAGAACTCTTCACTTGGGAATGCCGACTGATGAACAGAAAAAAGCCTACACGAGAGTGCTGATCGGTTCAATTGAATTATCGTCTTTGATCTTTCCCAATGATCTGTCGACAGACCAATTGGATGTTATTGCGCGAAGGTCGTTGTGGAGTAGCGGTTACGATTACATGCATGGCACTGGTCACGGAATCGGTCATTTTTCTTCAGTTCACGAATGTTCGTAATCTACAGTTTCCTGTAAAATAATTGCGTCACGAGAATATGGAATACAATTGATGAAAGCCATTCTAGTGGAACAATACGCGTTGCAGCGCCTATCAGCTTGTATTACGGATGCAAAAATGCAGGATGTTCCGTCAAGTTGAAGCCAGGATTCTTTCTTTCAAACGAACCGGGGTATTACAAAGAAGACCATTTTGGTGTTCGTTTGGAGAATATTCTTGAAGTAATTCCGGCTGATAAATTGGTATATCTTTTAATACATTCTCATCTATTATATGACCGTATATGTAATTAATTATGAATACGAAATATAAAATAGCTGTGTAATGATACAAAGAAATTGTAATTATTAGTTTTTAATTATTAGCTGATAATTGTTTCAGTCTCATAATGGACAAAGATTTCTTAAATTCAGAGACGTCACTCTGGTTCCGTACGAACCGAAACTTATCAAGATCAATATGCTAACTTCACCACATGTAAGTTTTAAATATATCGTTCTACAACTACTTAATTTTATTATAATCAATTATTATATTAGGTGTGGGAAAAAGTTTGTGACGTTTTTACCGTTAAATGGCATTAAAAAAACATTACGAACTTTTTCCCACACCTAATTACAAAAAATAACGAGCACAATATTAACATGTCTATATTACATAGCGGCGTTGGTTAAATAATTATAATAAACGTATACGAGAAGAAGTCGGAGCAGAGTTAAAAAAAAATTTAAAAATGAAAGCATTTTACTGGATGATGGCGAAAACTATGACCATTCCAGAAACAGGCAGCTATTATTTCCCTGATAATTCTCAGGCAATGCCATCTACCAATAGGCAATTCCATACTTTAGTTATAATTATTGCCATTTATCACATTATAAAAAGTAAGCGATATTCAAACACAACTTTATGCATTTATTATAATTTATTCACTGAAACTAGAATGATGCATCAATTTTTGTTGCAGATTTCACAAGAATACGCGACTAAACTGGGAAACACATCTAGATTGCCAAATATTTGTCAAAAATTACAGACCTTTTTTGTTTTAACTTTTTGAAAATATACATCATTTCCAAGATTGATATAAGATCATATAATTACATTTAGGCAAGAAAAACATAGAAATAAACTTTAATAAATTATTTTTCTATATACATATCTGTACTATTTTTTCTTTTCTTTATCCTTTTTTTTGACCTCTAGTCCTTTGTCTATGAACTCTTGAATTGGATCTTCTATTGAATCCAAAAACTCTTTAGGTTGTCTGGTATTGTTTGGTAAGGCAGTCACATAAATTTTAAAATACTTCAATATATCATCTAAAAAATAAAAATATATAAATCTATAATTGTTAAGCTATAGCTATCAAGCAAATGTAAATCTAATAAATATGCTAAACATATAATAAATACAATAAATTAATTTTATCAAAGAAACAAAAATACAAACCTATTATTTTCTTATCTATTTTATATTCAGAAGCTATATTTTCGCTACTATATTTTATAGGATCGTGTTTATGTTGCAAAAGAAATGTGAGAGCTTGCTTCAATGAGCACTTTCCCATAGGAATCATTGTAGGTTCATAAGATTCAAATGTAAAATCATTTTCCCAGCTCCGTCTGCTTTGAGGTAAAACCTTGGAATCTCTTGCTGGCTCTTTCATTTCCTATATAATATTGTAAATTTTACATCTGCTCAATAATCAAATCCATTTGTGTTCAATAAATTTATGTTAACATATAAAAATATATTTTATATTAAAACATTAAAACATACAAAAACATTAATACAATATTTAAAAATATAATTATCAGCTCATACTTGCGAGTCTGTTGATGTAACAAAAACATTTTTTAATCGTTGATCCAGTTGCGTGTTCTTTTGGTAATGGTCTTCCAAAAAGTATGGATTTACTGAAAGAAGATAATTACATGACCAAATTTAATTTAGCAAATTGAAAGAACCATTAAAGATGATAGTTTGAATACAATTTTAAATTATAATCATTAAATTATGATTTAGAATATATCATATAACCTTGGTCTGAAAGCTTCTTTTGTTTTTCTGTAGATGCATATTGAGGTGCAGGTATTGGTTTTTCTCGGGAAATAAGTTTTGCCGCACGATTTTCAATGTTAAATGTGCGAATAGGTCGAGTTAATACCGAATAAATCTTTCCCATAATTCAAGTAACCTACAGCAAAACAAATTATTCGCTATATGTATATGTTCGTTCCATTTGACATTCATAACATTAGTAAGCATTTATTTAACATTTGATTGAAATAAGAATGAAATGATTCCATGAACGTTACAAACAATACAAACATCAAGTAGAACGCACAAATTACAAATATCAATCTTGGAATATAATATATTGTGGTTGTTATAATGAATTTTCACCTAAGTTCTAATTCAAGTTTAGTATGGATTTTTAAATTAAAATGTTAATAACATTTAAAGTAACATTTAATATAATTATTTCACATTAAAATTTATTTTTTAATAATAAAATACTGTTAGTTACTTCTACAATCTGCAATCTATGAACATTACAAAGTGTAAAAAATTTGTTAATATTTGTAAATATTTTTATCTAGAATAGTTTAGTGTAAGAAAAATGAGTAACACTTGAAGATTAATAATTACATGATAAATCATCACATAAAATTATTGTTAATTTTAGCTGTAATATACCTCCAGCAGTCAGAATGCAAGAGTTCATAAAACGTGTTTGAACAATAATTATGAAACAATACGAACATGAGATTAAAAAGAATTTAATTTTCAAGAAAAATTTCTTAACCTTTTTGAGAGAAAATCAAGAGTGCGTTCCAAAACTCACTAAAAAAAGTTGCTTCTATGGCTTAGTTTCCACTGAGGATTTAAGCCGGATCAGAATGTAAGAATCAACCAACTACAATCAAGCATCCCCTGTCGTTCGACTGTAATAGGGGAATACTCGACTATTGGTTGGTTCTTACTAAAATATAGCCATATCAGTTTTTTTCCTGTTACCATCGAAATCAGCCATACACTACCGTCAGTACATTCATTTTCAGTTTAGGAACTACATGATTATATATATTTTTTGACACTATCGATAAAATCGTCGAAAGTAGATGTCGCTGTACTAAATTCTCAGACAGAAGCATGCCGACTATAGGAGAGATAATTTAATAGTCTCTGAATGAAAAAATTTTAATTTCGCATCTCCTATATATAAATAAAAGTTGAATTGTTGAATTTTAATAAACGAAATTGAAAACAAATTTAAACAATTTAGTGAATTTTGTCTTATAATATTTATCTTATAATATTCTTATAAAATTACGAAATTATGTTTATACAAATTTTCAATCTATTTTTATCAAACATAATTACTAGCATGTATCAAAGTCTCTATAATTACTAACATAATTATAGATTTCTATTTATTAATAAATAATAATAAATTCAAACTTTTTTAAACATATATTTTTTAAACATTATCAATTTAAGATATAATTTAACAAAAACGAGTTATAGAGGCCCTCCACCACCTCCGCCAATTTTATCGGCGGTCCTCTTTTCTTTGTATATATA